AAACATTGAATTCTAATCACCTATGAGAAACAATTTCATAATCAACTGATCCAAAACATTAGAGTAATGAAAGGATCAATGCAAGCAAAATAGAAGTCATTTCTAATTTGTAAGGAAGCATAGATAAAAGAAAGTAGGGTAATATGTAGCAGTAGGAGCATAGATGAATGAATATGGATGAAAATCAGCATGGATGATAATAAAGATTAACAGCATATAATTTAAATCTGCCGTTGTACCCGCCCAGATTGTAAAACACTTTCTCAATATATTTTATAATAAAGAAAGACAAAATTACAAAGCATAATAAAGACAAGAGAAGGCTGACAATTTTAGACAAGCCAACGCCAGCCATAACAAGAACTTCAAACCCGAAAAGCACTTATTCAGGAAACATTAAATCAGAAGCTCCAAAACATCAACTCTGCAACTAGCTTCTTCTTTGAACAAGTCTTCTGGCTTTCCTCATCTTCCTTCCACTTTGACTTGGTCGGCCATCAAACAAAGACACAAATCATTTTGGTTTTCCTGTTCGGAAGACAAGATATCCCATCAGCAATCCAAAAACAACTCCACATCCATAGCCTAACACCACAACTCTCCAGCCAAATCCACACAACTCGTCTTTTTCTTGGAAGGAGCTCGACGGTGTCCCTATTCCATCACAAGATTTTGACAATGGGATTCCGCACAGTCCAAGGTTTCCTTCATAAGAACCATTTCCAAAGGTGTTGAACTGACTGCCCTGTGGTATGCGCCCAACAAGATGATTATTTGAAAGATTCAATACAGAGAGTTCTGTCAAAGATACCAATTTATCAGGAATTTTCCCTGCCAGCTCATTGGAAGAGAGATCCAACCATTCCAGATTCGTCAAATTCCCTAGTGACAGTGGGATCTGACCAGTAAGGTTGTTATGAGAAAGATTAAGCCCTTTGAGAGAACTAAGCTTTCCAATAACATTTGGAATTTCTCCCTTAAACATGTTATTTGAGAGATGAATACTACTAAATATGATCAAGATTCTCTGCAGCTCATAGTCAATCCCTTCCATGTCACAACCAATGAATATTGATAAGAATTGGGTCCCGTCCACACATTCATGTATTCAGGGGAACCATCCTCTCCATGAGGGTCCATCATCGCTTTAAAATTTTCCATGTACCGAAGCGGCAAAGGACCAAGAAAATCATTGCTGGAGAGGTCCAAAACTCGTAACTTGGGAAAAGATGGACTTTCTTTGGTGCTCTGCACAAAACCGTGGAACTTGTTGGACCTTAAGACAAGCACTTGAAGGTTTGGTAGAGATTCCAACCAATGAGGGAATGTGTCCTCTATGTTGTTGTTGCCAACGTCTAGAACCTCTAACATGCGACAATTCACCAAAGACCTTGGTAATAAGCCGTCCATTTGGTTTCCATGTAAGTTAAGATTTCGTAATCCACAGCCCTTTGGAAACGCAAATGGTACATTTCCATCAAAGTAATTGGCCTGCAAATTCAACAC